GAAATTGCTTCGTCGTTTAAGCCTAGTATAACTCAGTACAAAAAGATCTCAGTTGGAACAAGAAAGGAAACATGTGTTTTCTCTTGACGTCGGGTGCTGTCAAATCGATTTTTTTTTAAATTTTCGGAGAACGGATGACGCTACGAGTCTCATACTGTAAAACTATAATTCTTAAACCTAACACAACTCAAAACAAAAAGATCTCGGTTGGAACACGAAAGGAAGCATGTGTTTACTCTTGACGTCGAGTACTGTCAAATCGATTTTTTTACGAATTTTCGGAGAACGAATGATCTTATGAGTCTCATACTCTAGAACTATAATTCTTAAGCCTAGAACAACTCAGAACAAAAAGATCTCGGTTGGAACAAGAAAGATAGTATAAGTTTACTCTTGGTCCGATAGATTGTTTGTCAAAAAGCTTTTTTTAATTTTTCGGGCTTATAATTAAACTTATTGATTTGTGCTTTTGGAACAACTAGAACAATCTATATCGGTAATCTATATCGGAATGCTTTATTTTCAAAAAATGGGGTGCCAGGTCAAAAACATTTTTTTTCATTTTTTGGACTTATAATTCAACTTACGGATTTGTCCTTTTGGAACAATGTTTGGAACAACTAGAACAATCTATATCGGTAATCTATATCGGAATGCTTTATTTTCAAAAAATGGGGTGCCAGGTCAAAAACATTTTTTTTCATTTTTTGGACTTATAATTCAACTTACGGATTTGTCCTTTTGGAACAATGTTTGGAACAACTAGAACAATCTATATCGGTAATCTATATCGGAATGCTTTATTTTCAAAAAATGGGGTGCCAGGTCAAAAACATTTTTTTTCATTTTTTGGACTTATAATTCAACTTACGGATTTGTCCTTTTGGAACAATGTTTGGAACAACTAGAACAATCTATTGCGGTATCAGAATGTTCGATTTTCGAAAAGTAAGGTGCCAGCTCAAAAAATCATTTTTTTTTTTTTATTCGTAAACCGCTTCGAATGAAGCAATATCATTTTGGAACAATGTGGTACAAAGTCAGAACAATCTGGAACAACTTTCAAAATTATAAATTTCAAAAAGTGGGGTGCCAACTTCATACACTCGGATTATCGTGATGCTCATTATGCTGATAATGAGATAAAATCTTTATGCAATGATTGAATTATGGACGTCCGTGCGGATATATTTAGAAGGAAAACAAATGGAGAAGTAATAAAAGGACGAGAGCGAAACGTATTTGCACAATACTCACTCGAGAAGAAAAAATCACATATGAATTTTGTCTACGTATGGCCATATGTAGTCATGCATAATTACTCAGATAGCACAGAAAATTAGAAAAGAATTTAGTCGTATGTCACCAATTCTGTGTTTATTTTTAGATGCAAAAAGAATTCTTATTAGAACTAAACTTTGAAGATTTCTTTTTGCATATGAAAATTAACTCAGAATTGGTGACATATGACTGAATTCTTTTTTAATTATTTTTAATTCTCTATGCTATCTGGGTACACACACACGCACACACACACACACACACACACACACATATATACACACACACACATATGCAATTTTTATTTAATTAATATAATTATATATAATCATTTTCTCTCCCGAATGCAAATAGCACCCCAGTAAGCAAATTGAGCTCAGACTGCGCGCAGATTGACAGTAAATTTGATCAAAAACCCACAGCAAATAAAAAACCCATAGCCATCTGTGTCTACATTAAGCTACGGTTTTGACAACAAATCTTGATGTCGGGCAATTGGTGCCAAATTTGCAGCAAAAACCGCGCAAAGCTTGCAGCGCAGCAAGGTCTGCGCGGTTTCTGCCGCCAATCTGCCGTCAAATCGCTACAAGGTCTGCGCGGTTTTTACTGTAAATCTGCAGCAATTATCCGACAACAAGCTCTGCCGCATATCTGACGGCAATTTGGCAACAAAATTTGATATAACAAATCCTGCATTGTTATCTATTTGCCATCAAAAGTTGATAGCAAGTTCTGCTCGAAATCTGTTCGCGCAGGTTTGGCTATCTGGGACAAGTGTCTAAAATACATCTTAGAAATGTCTTGAAGCCGTAGTAGAATATCATTTCTAAGATGTCCTTTGAACATTTGTGCTGGTAAGAGGATTTTTTCGTATTTGTATAAAGTGTGCCTTGTTTCAGATAGATCTTTCTGTTCTCCTTCTAAATATATATTCGCGGGAGCGCGTCCGCAGTCTCTGAATGATTCCTGTAAAGAAGAAGACTCTACCCGTGCAATAGAAGACGACATCGACCTGCTGCTTCGTGCCGTCCGCAAAAACCACCTCGCGCTCCGTCAGTTCCACCACATCGGCTTTCTAAAAAGAAACCGCCGCAAGTCTAAGAAGTAATCCCCGTGTGATTTTACTATTTTCATTCTGGACTCGCGCTTTTACCTACCTGCACGACGTTCTCGGGGAACACGGTGAGTATAGTATCCTTCACGTGATGACTCAGAATCACGCGATTCGCATTCTTGGATATTTCCAAAGCCAAGTCCATACCTGTCGGCGGGAACGAGGAAAAGAAAAGAGTTTTAATTGCCATGAGTAGCTTCGTCCAGAAATCTTTTTCACACTCCCGAACAAAGATCAAATAACCGATGAACGAGGAGCTGTTCTCATCTATTAAGTGCGAAATTGTCAGTAAAATATTTTATCAATTCTTTCCTTTCAGTTGCGACGATAGGAAGGAACTTTCGAGAAGAATTGTTTGGATTTTTTTTTTCCCTGGAGATTGAGTGAGTCACCCGTGTGATATTTACTCACCGGAAGGTCCTGCTCCCAGGACGACGACGGTCTTGCCGTTGAAGATCTCGGGGACTCTGTAGTCATGACTGTGGATCTGCTCGCCGACGAAGATGTTCTGGCCGGATATCTTTGGGATGCTGGGCTCGAAATAATGACCGTTGCATACCAAGATCGCGTCGAACGACTCGGTCATGAGCGTATCTCTCTGCAGATCCTTGACCTTGACCGACCACTTCCGGCTCCCCACGGCTGGCTCTATCAACTCTACATGGTGCAGCAGCTGCAACGTGAGGAATTTGCAACAACACGCCGCGACAAATTTATCCCTGATACTTGAATTAGTTTTGTGGATTCAGCATCTTGAGTATTTAAATTCGGGTCTAACAGTGACTCGCACGTTAAATAAATAAAGATGTCGTCTTTAATTGTAGACACAGACATCGCGTTTTACTTTATTTCCGCGTCTACAATATGTGCTGGCATACTCATTGCAGCTTCGTGCACTCACACGGATGTAAGGACGTAGCGCGAAGTGGTCGCAGTATTCGTTCAGAAAATTCAGTATCTGCGGGCGCGACAGGTAACTTTCGGGGTTCTCCGGTATTGGATAATCTGGATAACCCATCACTTCCTTCGGCAGATTAGTCCTAGAAGTGAACAGCAGAGATTTTCACAGAAATTATTTGCAAAATACGTCAATCACGATACACGTGAGTATGAAAAATGGATATCAACTTTCGTGTTCCTTCAATTTCTTAAGATTGGAGTATTAGTTTCTATAAATATATCGCTAATTGTGCATTTCCTCCCTCTCTCTTTTTTTTCTGTACGCGGTCAAGAAAACGAAAGTTGCCCCGCAATGAGATGCAACGCACCTGAGGCTTTTGTACGTGCTAGTGTGAATCGGCAAGCCGTATCTATCGGAACCAGTTTCCTCTCGGTAGACCCAAGTGCCGCCGATTTGGTCTGTTTTTTCGTAACATACCACTTGATCATCGTAAGTACCGGAAGTGCAGTGCCGGAGTGCAGCCAGCCCGGCGGCTCCTGCGCCAACTACGGCGATTCTCATGATCGTCTGAGGTCCGCAGAACACGAGGAATTCTCATTAACACCTTCGGCGAAAGTTATTGACGATCTATCTCGCACTTTATCGGGCGTGATCGCAATTTTCACGTTGCGTTATGCGGATATCTCAAACCAGCCTACGCGCTGGTTCAATTTGATTTTCCCTTGGTTGAAACACCAAGTCAAAAGTGGATATCGACTATTCCGCATTGGCTCAATTTTCATCTCGAGGACCGAAATAGAATTAAGTTGAAATTCAGATAAGTTTTAACTGCCTTATAGAGGAAAATATAATTTCATACTGGTCGAAGACGATAAAACTTATCTGTTTACTTGTTTTTATTTGCGGTTTAATCTGCCGAAGAAGTTTTTTACATAAACAGTAATTTTATCGTCATTTTGTAACGGTGATAATGTGTTAAGTAGAATAATAATTGACGAGTCATTCCAATAGTTATTCGCGATCATATCATGTACGAGCTGCTAATATGTATATATATATATATATATATATATATATATATATATATA